AACTCAGAACTCATCTGGTGGAAACCGGCCTCTGTGAGATGTAACAGGGAGAAAGCCTAAAGGCCCCCGCGTTCCCTGGGAGCAGCCTCCTATGGCATCCATCCAGAGCCCCGCAGGCCCCGCCCCAGCAAGGGGACTCAGGACGCTGGGGGAGGCCACCCCTAGCCTGGCAGGAAAAGCACACGGCGCCTTCAGGGCGGTGGGCCTGCCCCCATCTGCCCAGCCACGCCTGCCCGGAGGGCCTCTGGGGCAGAGGGAAGAGAGTGCTGCACACGTCCTGAGCCTGACAGCAGGTCTTTGCTTTTCCTAGCCTGCTCTTCTCGAATGCTCTGTGGGACCCTGCTTTTGGCACAGTGCTTCTTTAGTCATTCCAGCTGCTTCTACCACTGATCGCTAAGGCTGCAGGTATTAAGAGGGATACTATACCAAGAAGCGAACACTGTTATGAGTCAATATTAACAAGTGAGGGAGTATTCACAGAAACTAAGTTAAAATGGTATTTTATTACAAAAGAAACAGTAAGATTTATTTCAGGAATAATGGCTTCATTAAAAAGCTGTTTCTTGGAGAAACATGAATTCAAAATAAACAAACCTGACCTCTGTAAGAGGTTTACAGGGAGGACCCGACCGCCCTAAAAATGCCTTGCTGAGTTATAAGGCAGCGAGCTCATTAGCAAAACACAAAAACAAATCCCTTTCAGAAAACTCAGAAAACAAAACGTTCATTTCAGTTTTTGAAGTTACGTTACTAAAACTACAATTCCACGAGGACTCAGCACACTTCTCACTCACACTCGCCTCTCATTTTCGCTTCTTCATCAGCGCCATGAACCTCACCGACCTGCCTCCCTTTCTGAGAGAAATCCCACCTGCGTGGCCCACGGGCAAGGCAGCCACCTAGGCCTCCTCCATACTTCTGGTTAGGAGGACGGCCTAACAGTTCCTTGGTAGAAATACCCAGATAATCAACTTGTTACTAATCAGACTTCAGAAATGCTCCAAGGTAAGAAGATGACTGTGTGGATCACAATAAACTGTGGAAAATTCTGAAAGAGATGCGAATACCAGACCACCTGACCCGCCTCTTGAGAAACCTATGTGTAGGTCAGGAAGCAACAGTTAGAACTGGACACGGAACAACAGACTGGTTCCAAATAGGAAAAGGAGTACGTCAAGGCTGTATATTGTCACCCTGCTTGTTTAACTTATATGCGGAGCACATCATGAGAAACGCTGGGCTGGAAGAGGCACAAGATGGAATCAAGACTGTCAGGAGAAATATCAATAACCTCAGATATGCAGATGACACCACCCTTATGGCAGAAAGTGAAGAGGAACTAAAAAGCCTCTTGATGAAAGTGAAAGAGGAGAGTGAAAAAGTTGGCTTAAAGCTCAACATTCAGAAAACTAACATCATGGCATCTGGTCCCATCAGTTCATGGGAAATAAGATGGGGAAACAGTGGAAACAGTGGCAGACTTTTATTTTTTTGGGCTCCAAAATCACTGCAGATGGTGATTGCAGCCATGAAATTAAAAGATGCTTACTCCTTGGAAAGAAAGTTATGACCAACCTAAGCAGAGACATTACTTTGTCAACAAAGGTCCATCTGGTCAAGGCTATGGTTTTTCCAGTAGTCATGTATGGATGTGAGAGTTGGACGGTGAAGAAAGCTGAGTGCCGAAAAATTGATGCTTCTGAACTGTGGTGTTGGAGAAGACTCTTGCGAGTCCCTTGGACTGCAAGGAGATCCAACCAGTTCATCCTAAAGGAGATCAGTCCTGGGTGTTCATTGGAAGGACTGATGCTGAAGCTGAAACTCCAATACTTTGGCCACCTCATGCAAAGAGTTGACTCATTGGAAAAGACCCTGATGCTGGGAGGGACTGGGGACAGGAGGAGAAGGGGACGACAGAGGATGAGGTGGGTGGATGGCATCACCGACTCGATGGACAAGAATTTAAGTAAACTCCGGGAGCTGGTGATGGACAGGGAGGCCTGGCGTGCTGCGATTCACGGGGTCGCAGAGAGTCGGGCACGACTGAGCGACTGAACTGAAGAAGATGAATGACAGGAAATTTCCAATATTTGATGTTTAGCCCACTAAAATGGTAATTCTAATAGGCTGTTTTGTGACCAGTCTTACCAAAAGAAAAAAAACAACCCAGATGGTGAGCATCAGCCTCATTTAAGGCGAGGAGCCTGAGAGGTGAGGTGGTGGTCCTGCCCGAGCAGGAGGCCCCGGGCAGAAGCACGGCCAGCGCAGGGCCCCCAGCCTTGCAGGCCGGGCTCTGGCGTTACCCAGGGAGGCACGGGACTCCAGCAGGAGCTCCATCATCGCTGCGCTTCTAACCAAGCTGAGACAGGCAGGTCTGGTCTACATGTCTACCTCTCAGAGGAATGGGATGAAAGGTGATGCCCAAAGGATGCTAAATGTGCTCACAACCTCAGAGGCATGGAAAACAGAGTTTGTCAAGGAAGCGTTCATCCCAGATAAACACGCCCTCTCCTCCCTGGCTGCAGAGGCTGCTCTTCCTGGTGGGCCGCAGCCGTCAGGGCCCTGGGGTGCCGGGCGCCCTCCCAGCGTGGGCCGACCCCTCACCCCAGTTCACTGGCTCCAGGATGGAGAGGAGGAGAGCAAAGCCAACTTGCCCTGAGCAGCAAGGGTGTCAGCACCCCTGGGGTTAGTGCCAATTAACTCCGTGTTAGCAATCACAGTACAACCACCCACCACCTCCCTTCTTAAACTGTAAAAATCCCCACACCTGGTCCTCGCCTGAGAGAAGTGATTGAGCTAAATTAGAAAAACCTGGCTGGCACAGGCTGCGGCGTGGGAAATCCTGGCCTGGGAGCCAGCACTGTCAGCAGGCGGCCGGGTCTCGGGGACCCTCCTGCCCCCACCCCAAAACCCAGCTGGAGGGGACCTGGCCCCGGTCACGAGTGTCCCCCAGCACTGCAGAGCTAGTCCAACAGGGGGTGGGCTACTGGGTGACTGCAGTCATCCTCCTTCCCCAGTGCCTGCTTCCAGCTTGCCCTGGTTGCCCAGACCGACCATGACTATGACCTGCAGGAGAAGAGATGGCCACGCTCAGGCCTGGAGCTGGGAAGCGGGGTGGCAGGGTGCATGTGGCCAGTGTCTGCTCTCTTCGAGCACTGAGGACAGTACTTCAGGGTTTTATAAGCTCACCCCCCGCTGACACCCTCATTATATTATACAGATACTTCCTGCCCTGGTTTCATCATGTCTCTGCTCTGAAACATCCTAAGCCTTAAACTTGAGCTCACTTACTTGACACACGCGAGGAGCAGGAAAGCGGTTTGGCCAACCCGCTTCTGCTCCTGGTGGCAGAGCAGTGAATGGTAGTAGTGGACAGAAGAGTTTGGGGCTCCAAGATTCCCAAGCCTCTACTTTAAAGATAAACCCACATTTGAGTTCCTCAAACTGCACAGCAGGACCCCCACTCTGCACCCAGTGTGTGGGAGGTGCACACGAAGAGCGTCAGGCACACCCTCGACCAGGCCCGGCGATGTGCAGGGCTGGTTCCGGTTCCGAGCAGGTGGTGAGTGCCAGGCAGCGGCGGCCAAGCTCAGCTACACCACCACCTCAGCCCGAGGGGTCCCACTCTTGGATGATGGAGGGTCTCTGGACGTGAGCGTGGAGTGTGGCAAAGGCTCACCCAGCTCTCAATGCGGTCTTGTCCTGGAGAAGCCCTTCTAGACGTTCCCATTGGAGACAACCCCCCCGGAGATGCTCCCACTGGAGACAGCCCCAGGTGACGCCCAGGAGCTGATGCATTCTTGCTCAGCTTCAGTTCACTGTGGGCAAAGACCTCCAGGGTCCGACCTAGTCAGTCCCCTGACCTTGCTGGTCAACTCGGGTATTAGCTCAACTTGCCCGAGCTTCTCTACCTGCTATCCCTGAAAGCCCTGCTCCACCTTCAATAGTGCTGAAAACTATGGCTGCAGTTAGAATACCACGAAACTCATTTAGCAAATTCCACTTTGAGGGAATTCACCTCATGTAAAATCTCACAGTAATTTTTTTCTTAAGTGTATACGTATGTATACATCTATACACATGTATCTCTATGTAACTGTTGCTGTTCTTCAGTCGCTAATTCTGCGACCCCATGGACTATAGCCAGGCTCCTCTGTCCTCCACCATCTCCTGGAGCTCGCTCAAATTCTTTTCACTTGAGTTGCTGATATAGATTCACTTATACTAAAACAACTGTGAAAAAAATCACAATGCAAAGTAAACCTCCGCTATGTGTATAGAATGATATTAGTTGCCATAATTAAGCTCCAAACAAAAGCTTAAGGGGAACTTGTCTGGGAAACTGTTTTTATGTATCAGAGACTATCAGAGACTATTATCAGAGACTATTATCAGAGACTATCAGAGACTATTGTCAGAGTCTGTCAGAGACTGGCAGAGACTATCAGAGACTGTCAGAGACTGTCAGAGTCCCACTGTCAGAGTCCCACTGTCACGCTGCACATAGACAGTAAGTCCTCGGTTCATCCCTCAAGAATACAACATTTACCTGTGGTGAGTCTGAGATGTCGGCCTGAAAACTTATTCAAGAGGACACGCTGCCACCGCCCACTTCAGGGTGTTAGCAGCCGGGTTCGTGGAGTGGCCAGTCGTCCACACGCGAGTCTCAGTGCTGCTGGCAGGCAGACAGTTTAAGTTAACAGTAAGCTTATTGAAAAATCTACTGCCATTCCGATGTGTTCCTTTAAAACTCTGAGCCAGTGAGAGGCAGGCGTCGATGTGCACGGATCATTTTTATTGCCTTTGCCAAGAATTATGGGACCTTGTGCCAAAACTAACAGGAGCACTTGGAGCGGGTGCAGAGTGGGCGCTCCCATCTGTGCTGTGTGGCACACGCCGCCTCTGTTCGTTGGGGGGAAACAGCCCGAGCTGGAAGGGGGCTGACAGCAATCAGGTCAGGCTCCCTGAGCCAGACGCCGCGCGGCGGCCGTGGTACTGACCTTTCTGGAAGATGGGATGGTGCAGCACGGGCACGGGGAGCCCCTCGAGGACCAAGGGCTCGCGGAAATAGGCATCCAGCCAGGCCGCGCACTGCAGCAGGGGCTCCGGCACTGCCCCGGGACCTCCGAGCTGCTCAGTGGGAGTGGCGGCCTCCGCCGGCCTGCGAGAGAGAAGAGGAGAGACTCAACCTCCAGGCCCTGCTCCACCTGCTGCCCCTAAAAGGGTAGAGAGGTGACTGCGGAAGGAGGGGGGCGGGGTCACTGCACCCGTGCCTCCACCTCCGCTTGGAGGGACACAGGTTCTGGAAGGACGTCCTGGGACCGGCGCTCCTCTGCCGGGCTCTGTCTGCAGTCCTGCCGCAGGGCAGGGGTGTGAGAACAAGGGTGATGAGCTGACGCAGCTCCAGTGGAGACCACCACCTGCACCACCACCTCCACTTCCGCTGCAGTCACCGAGCATGTTCTCCAGAAGCACCATCAGTCGTCAAACCCACATCCTCGCCCCGCCCACCACATTCCCACCGCACACCCCATGGCTCCACGTGCTCTACGGCTCTCGGGGCTTCGGGGGAACCCCGGCCTGAGTCTGCGCCGCGCCTCACGCTCCAGGGCGTCTGGGCAGTGTGCCAGTCACTCTGCGAGGCTGGTTTAGTTACAGGACTACGACTTTCCTGCCCGAGACTTCTTTTTTCCAAACCTTCTCGTCTGTTCCCTGTGGTCACTGTCCTTCCTCCCTCTCACCTCCGTAGGTTTAAGCCAATACGCCTCAGACTCGCTTCAGATGGCCTGTCTCTTCTCCTCATGGGCTCAGCCTTGTCTGGGCGATCCCGTGGCTCCTCTCATGGAGCTGACTTCTCCCCTTCAGCAGAGGCTGACCTTCAAGGGACATGCTCTGCTGGGCTGAGAAAACGTCCCTCGGGAGAGGGTCACTTCTGCTGCTTCCGAGCCCCAGACTTTTATGAGGGATCCAGCTTTTCTGAACTTCTGAGGACGGCACACCCACAGAAGCACCAGCACCCAGCTGATTTCAGACGTCGTTCCTTCCTGACCCCTGGCCCTGGACAGAAGGCAGCTTCCCTGCACCTCCCCGCCCGTGGGCTGAGTGTCTGGTTTCCGCCGGGGAGGGGAAAGGTGCACGAGGGGCAGGAAGCTCCTCTGAGCCCACGGCCTCTATGGAGTAAGCAGGGAGCTGACTCTAGGGAAGAAAGTGGAGAAAGGCCATGGGCTCTGCCACCCTGCTCATGGGGCCGGCGGGGAGGAGATGGGGTGTGCTGAGCTCGCTCAGACAAGGCACAGCACACGCAACCTGTTAAGCACGCACGTCAACATGGGCGCACAAGTGGGCAGCGGTCCATGCGTGACCCTGCTCACACCTGGCTAAGTGGCAGAGTCACCGCCCCTGACCCACGTGGGAAGCAGGAGAGGGCCCGACAGCCCTGGCCAGCACCTCCTGCAGAGGCGGGTGGGGTGAGGTGCTGGTGGGTGAGGGCAGCAAACATGAGTGCTTGGGTGGTCTCCGGGGCTTGAGGGGTCTTCCTGACCATTACACCCTGCAAATGGGGCTCCCTGAAGTGGGGGGCACACTGCCCAGGAGACAGATGGCTTAAGTTGAGAGTCAAGAGGCTCTGCACCCATCTTGGGGAGTCACAACTCTTATTCAGATGCCTGGTTCGCTCGGGGGCATCTGACAAAGGCTACGGAGCTGTGGGCATCCCGGGGCACTGCCCAGGTTGGGGGCCACTTCCCCTGCGTTGCTAAGGGAATTGAAATGTGAGCTGAGTTTCCTAGCATTTCCCACTCTTAAAAGGATATTTGAAGAATTTTTATAGTAGTAAAATTCATCTTAAATTGATTTTTTATGCTTGTGCTAAAGATCTCAACCTCTGATTTACTCTGCAGTTCTCCTTTTTAACTCTTTCTCTATTGGCATTAGATAACTATTCATGGGTGAAATGTAATTAAACAGCTTTGATTCTGAAGCAAGGATTTATGATACTACATTTAAAATGAATGGCATTAAACACACACATAAAATCAGATTTTTAAAGCCATGACACAAATTTCCATTTCTACAATAAAATGAAATTTATTCTCCGCCCTGCCCTCTCCTCCAACCTCGCTCTGCTCGTCCCTGAAAGAGCTGTGGTGTGACAGGATCACAGCATCGCTAACGGCTGCTCTTATTATGGAGGAGTTTCTCCAGGCTTCCTACCGACGAACCTGAAACCCCAATCATTACGGGCTCCGTGGCCCACGCTCATTTAAATCTCACATCCACGTCTCCCTGGGAGCTGGGAGCCCAGCAGCTCACCTACCACTAAATGCACAGACCTGTGGCCACTGCCTCTGGGAAGCACCACTGTGTGTGAGCCCGGCCCCCAGGAAGGCTGCTGGAAGGCCAGCGCCAAGGATGGAAGTGAGACAAAGCTGTCCCGCCGCTTGCGAGTCCTTCCACCGCCGCCCAGGACGTCATCAGGAAGAGCAATCCTGAGGTCAGTATCAGGACTTGTTTTCACTTGGCACAAGAGGGCTGGTGGTGGCTGGAAAATGAATTTGGCTGTGTTGAGCTTTTTAACGTTAACAATAGAAAGCATAGGAACCTTTGTACAGGAAACATAAAGTCACATATGTTTTGGTGTAAGGGTTTCTTCAAGAAATATGCAATGCTGCCAACCCCATAAAATATACAATGCTGCCAACCCCATAAAAAGGACAACAGAGTGCCGCCTTGAGGGTACGCTGCCAGAACCTGGGTGTGTTGGAAACCCCTGTGGGAAGCTCTCCTGGAGTCGTGAGCCCCAACAGCCTGACCCATTCCCATGGGCCTGGAGAAAGAACGTTCTGGTGTTGAACTGCATTTCAGACTTGTTTGGACATGAACCTGTCTATCATTCCCAATCAGACACAGCAAAGCAGGTGACATGCTCCAGAACAAATGTCTGAAGCGTTTTCAATAAAGCAGGCAGGACTCTCCCCAAGACTTACCCAGAGAACCCACGAATTCACAGCATTGGTACGCGTGCATGGGGGGCACTGGGAAGGCTGCTGGTCCCCTGCGTGAGGCCTCCAGGCCCTGGCCCTGGGAGGACAGGAGAAGAGGGACGGCCTGGCCCCCAGGGGGCAGGGCAGGGGGGGCAGCCGGGCCCAGGAGCCCTTGGGGCAGGGGAGGTGCCGTGCGCCCGGCTGGCTAAAGCCACCAGGAAGTGCTGCTCGGGGTCTCCCCACCGTGGGGACGACTGCGTGTGGCAGGCCGCCCAGCAAACGAGAGGGCCGCCCCCAGCTCTGCCTTCTCCCGTCTGCCCACGCAACAGCTGTGCTCCACACGCCCACCTGGTGGGCAGGAGGTTTGGGTGTGCAGGTTCTGGGGTGCCTCAAGGCTTCCCTTTCAAGGAAAAGAAGAGGGTGGCAGAAGATTAGATGTTTACATGGCATCGCTGACTCAATGGACATGAATTTAAGTAAACTCTGGGAGATAGTGAAGGACAGAGGAGCCTGGTGGGCTATACAGTCCATGGGGTTGCAGAGAGTCGGACACAAATTAATCACCGACTTCAAGTCAACAACAAGGCTTCAACGACTGGCAGCAAAGAATCACTAAATCCTGCTGTCTGAACGAATTCTACTCCCCATAGACATCACCATGTCATGTACTTGGGCTTGTACCCGTTCCAACATGAGCAAGCAGGCCGGAAGTCCCGTGTCCCCTCTCTGGTCGGCCCCGTGCATCCTGCCCGTGGGTGACCATGCCGCTGCCGTGCCCCCGGCCTCCCTGGGACCCGGTGCCTCTTCCCCGTCTCTCGCTTCACAGGGTGAAACTGAGCCTTACGGTTTGGGGAACGTTAACTGGTGATGGCGAGGATCAGCTGAGAGAAGGGCTCCAAAGACTCGTGTTCCTGAGTTCACCTGGAGTCTGGGGCGGTGATGGGGAGGTGTCCTTCAGCAAGGCTGTGAGATCAGCCTGCAAGGACGCACACGGACACTCGAGTCTGATCGGACGTGAGGACACGCCCAGAGCCCTGACCGCACACAGCGGCTTAGCGCCCCTCAGGATGAGAAGCCTCACCTTCTCTGGCCCCCAGGACTCCAGGGTAGAGCGCCAGAGCTCACAGGCTCAGGTAGGGACACATGCACAGCTAACACTTAAAACTGCAATCGAGGTGACTTTATAAACATCATGTGGAGACGGGAAATGCACAATTACATCCAAGTTAGCAGATCTCTGGCAGAGTCGCTTGTGTTTGTGTCTGACAGATTTGTCCTGCATTTAATTATACCTTCTTGTAAAGCTCAGATGCTTTTCTTCCAGTGGTAGCACTGAAGACAAATAAATTATGCTACCTGTTTTCAATAAAGATGCTTTAAATTTTTCTAAATGAGAAGCTGAACGAAGCCTTTAAACTCTTTATTCCAACCAAATTTACTGGTCTGATTCCATTCAAGCATTTACTGAGGACCCGCTAAGTACAGGGCTTACTGGCAAGAGTGTCGGCTTGGGGACTGCCACCCACCTGGGAAGGCAGGGAAGCTGAAGGCAAAGCGCGGAGGTGCTCATGGCCGCCCCCTGATGGCTGTGCTGGAGGAGCCCGTCCTGCCCAGCTGGGGCTTCCGTGTGTCACCCGATGAACAAGCCGGGAAAGTGATGGCTCCGTGACACTGCCAGGCGGCCATCAGCTGTTTGGGCAAGAACCCCACATGGGTGTGACGGGATCTGTGCATTTACTTGAACACTCCAGAGTTGTATTAGGACACAGAGTAGAAAAAGGAGAAACACTTGCTACAGCGTGAGAAACACAGGTCTCAGACAAACTGAGTCAGCGGAGGCCAAGAGGAGGTGTGTCGGGCGGGGCAGGGGGTCCCCCTACGGACACCACCGGAGCCTCCCTGCTGCTCATCAGGCGATGCCCTGGAGGAGTCACGTGTCATCTTGCCTCTTTCTCACATGATCCTAAGAGCAACATGTACTCAACTATGAAAAACAGGGAAAAGATTAACAAACATGCATGAAATATCGGAAACAGGCCTAAGTTTATATATATATAAACAGTATATATAACTCGCAGATTTTAATTCTATGAGACCAGAGCGCCTACTACTTGTAACACATGACTTTATGGACTGACTTTCATACGTTTGGTTGTAGTACCTATCTCAATGATGCTCA